CCTCAAAGCCCCTGGCGGCCCGAGCAACTGCGCGATGCCGAGCCATCCCGAACTGGCCACGCGTGGGCGAAATCGGCACCCTGCGCTCGGCTTACAACGGTCGCCGGTGAGGTCATTCATCGACGAGCGCAAGTCGACGATGAATTGGTCCTCCTCCCCCTCTTCTTCTGTTTGTTGCTTAGTCTTCTTATTCGTAGTCTGCTTATTATTGTTGCTATGCTTATTATGGTTGATATTATTATGATTATTATTATTATTATCAGTAGTATTATTATTATTATTGTTATGATTCCTCCATCTCCTCGGCACGGCGCGCCTGGGCAGTGATTGTCACGTGTAGCTCTTGGTGTCCTCTTGTTTTGTGCTCCGGCGCTCGCCAGAGTTCTCTACACGAGTTTGCTGATTGCAGGCTGGCTTGTGCGGCGTTCCGAGTGTGCTTGGCGGCTGTCTGCTTCGCACCGTGCCCACTGCCGAGGCGCGAGTTCTGGTGGCTGTTCGAGTAAACCAACGAAGCAATGCAGCGATGATCAGCATCCTTCGTCGACCGACCCCACCCCCATCCCCATCCCCATCGTATGTTCATGCCGTCCCTTCTTGTGCTCGTTGTTTCCGATACGCACCAGCTCGAGATGATTCACGAGGTCATTGGAGAAATTACCCATGTGGCGAAAACGCCTTCAGCATCTACAGATGTTTCGGCTTTAAGGCGCGAGAGGAGCACACATTCAATGACGATGTCGTTCATATGATAAGCTTCTGCTTCGCACTTGGCATTGACGGGTGGGTTGATGAGGGGAAGGGGTCACCCTGTCACATATCAATTGGCACCTACGGCATTGACAACCAAATGGTGAAGCAGGCGCAGTCTGCTGAAAGTAAAGTAGTGGCGGTGCATCCACGTACCTGGATCCTGGTATTCAAGTTGGCTTTTTTTGTGATGTTGATACCGTGGTCCCGCTTGCGGTCGATCGCATCGGCGATGTTCCCATGAAGTTTGAGAGGGAATCTGCCAGCGGTAGTGGGGCGTAACCAGTTTCGTTCAATGTGGTCATGCAGATGTTCTTGTTTGACATTTGGTTCGCGTTTCAGTCTTGGTTGGGCACAGGTTGCTCTTGCTCCTGCCCGGTACATTTGTGTTGGTCATGGGTTGCCCTAATGTTCGTAGACTTGCACTTCGTATGGCTCGATAGGGGTGTCAATGACGCGCAGTCACCCTTGATTCAGGAGCAGTTCAATCGGCGAGTGCTGTCGGTGTTTCGGCAGCGCCTGCCTTCCCAGTCGGGAGTGGCACATGATGCGAGCATCCTCGACAGGTCGCCCAAAACCTGAGGACTTCCGCAACCACTGCCGCCGAGCGGGCAGGGGACGGCAGAGGAGGAAAGTCCCAGCGATCGGCAAAGGACGCGAGCCTGCAAGAAGAGGGCGGTGGTGAGCGTCTTAGCAATGCAGGCGTTCCTGAGACAGCCTGCTTGAGCCTTCTCCTCTCTCCTCTTCCTCCTCGTGATCGCGCCTCTGCCCCCCTTCTCTTCCCCTCCATTGTTTTCGCTTCACCCCAGAGGAAAGGGCGACGACGGCCATGCGGCAGGGCAGCTTGCCGCCTCCGCACTGTTACTTCAGAAATCTGGCAGAGGCCCGTGGGGCCATTGCTGCGGGGAAAAATCTGGAACAGCTTGAGGCGCCGATGGAAAAATAAGAAGATATATATATAGAGAGAGAGAGAGATAACGAGAGAGAGAGAGAGAAAGCAAGATCAAGAGAGGTAGCCGCAGATCGTAGCCCACTTTCCCCTACCTCCCCTCCCCGCGTAATCCTGTGGTGAGTAGCGTGGCATGAGTAACACTGGCTAAGAGGACGAGAGGGAGACAGCGATAGAGAGAGAGAGAGAGAACAAACTAAAAGAGGCCAACGCTGGCGTGCCCAAGCTTTCTGGAGCCCGCCGGTCGCGGCCAACCTTGCACGGCGCAGGTGCCCCCAGGCGGCGGCAGCGAAGCCTTGCCTGTGTGTCCCGCTTGCTGGCCCTCAACTGGCAGAAGCGGAGATTTCTGACGGGAAGCTGGATACAGATGATGCGGCCGGCCTGGGCGGGAGCCGGATACACGAGTGGCCAGATCTCTTTCCAGCGGTCGGCCCCTCTGGTGGCCCAAGCACGCCGGCTCTGAGCACGCGCATCCGGCGCCTGGCCTCCGCCCGCTCCTCGCGGGAATCCGGCCATGCGTGCCTCCAGCGTCCTAGTTTTAAGTAGGGCCTGTCCCTCTACAGGAGGAATATTCAAAAATAGTAGAAAAATAGTCTGGGGACGATTTGTTTACTGTTTTTTGCATTTTGGGAACATGTTTGGAATATTTGTAACGTTTCGCCCAAAATCCCCCTGTAGGGGGACAGTCCCGACTTAATCCTAGTTCGAAGAACAAGAAACTGCAAGAACACGAACTGTCGGATCTCCGCATGGACCTCCGAAAGTCTACGTCTGTGGCGTGCTTTGTCCCTCGATTGCGGCCTGACGCCTGGCCGTTCTGCCGGCGCCCTTGCGGCAGGACGGGGGTCCCTTGTGCCCGGGCTGCGGCGCCCCAGGTTTGGCAAGCCGGCGCCCCCGCTGCTTCCCACCCCCCTCGACCAGCGGCCCTCGCGGGTGACGAAGGGCCTCCTGTCGAGGATCTTGAGCCTTTCTCCAGATCTCCAAGGATCTCACTTGCTCCATCCCGGCGGCTTTTCCTCGATTTCGGCCTCCGGGGCCGGCCATCGGGCCCTGGGACCATCAGAACTGGATTGGAGAGGAAAAGCTACCCCCGGGGAAGGGGTCGGGAGCTCTGGGGCCGCGGATTGAAAAATCATGCGGGCGGATGTCAGGGCTGGCGTCCTGGAAGAATCGCGTACCCCTGGTGCCACCGACGGTCTGGATGGCAGTCGCCCCCCCCCCTCCTTCCCCAGCCTTCCCTCCCTTCCTCCTCGCCCTTCGTTCCCTCTCCCAGCCCTCTTTCCTTACCCCTGACCCCTTCATCCCCCCTCCCCGGCCTCCCTCTCCATCTCTTCCTTTCCCCTCCTTCCTCTTCTCCCCTCCCTTTACTTCCATCCCCCTCCCCGCACCCTTTCCCTTCCCAGCCCCTGCCCCTCCCCTTGGCTCCCCTCTCCCTCCTTCCGAGCCCTTCCCACCCTTTCCCTTTATTCCCACGCCTTCCCTTCACCTCCTCATCCTTTCTCCACATCCCTTACCTCCACTGCCTCCCCTCACAGCCCTCCCGCTCCTCCCTCCCCTCTCCTCCTCCCCTCACTCCTGCTGCAATTCCCACTCCCGTCCTTTCCCCCCGATCCGGCATCCAGAACTTTCTGCGGAGCCCTCTGGAGGCCTCCAGAGGTCTGCAGCCCTCGGGAGGAGGAGGAGGGGGAGGAGGAGGAGGGGGAGGAGGAGGAGGAGGAGGAGGAGGAGGAGGAGGAGGAGGAGGAGGAGGAGGGGGAGGACGACGACGACGACGACGACGACGACAAGGACGAGGACGAGGACGAGGACGAGGGACGAGGACGAGACGAGAGGGAGGAGGAGGAGGAGGAGCGAGGAGGAGGAGGATGAGAGGAGGAGGAGGACGAGGAGGAGGAGGAGGGAGGAGGAGGAGGAGGAGGGAGGAGGAGGAGGAGAGGAGGAGGAGGAGGAGGAGGAGGAGGAGGAGGAGGAGGCGTAGGGAGGAGGAGGAGGAGGAAGAGGGTCGACAAAGCTGGCGGCAGGGTCGAGCCGCGTCGACGCGGCGGCGCAGCCGGCGCGGGCGTTCGAGGCCAGAAGGGCCTTGGCGGCCAGAAATCGGCCGCTCTCGAAGGATCCGCGAGATCGGCAGGCCGCGCTCGTTCAGGGTCGAGCGTGTCACGCGGCGTCGAAGACCAACGCCCGAGTCGCCACGACACGATCCTGCCGCCCAAAGCACCACATCGATGTATTGTCCAAATTTGACGGGCCTGTTTTCCACCACCACCACCACCACCACCACCACCACCGCCATAAGTTGGAGGGGGAGGGGGTCCTCCTCCTCCTCCTCCTCCTCCTCCTCCTCCTCCTTCTCCTCCTCCTCCTCCTCCTCCTCCTCCTCCTCCTCCTCCTCCTCCTCCTCCTCCTCCCTCCTCCTCTTCCTCCTTCTCCTCCTCCGAAGGCACTGGCGCTCCTCCCTCCTCCTCCTCCTCCTCCCCCTCCTCCTCCTCCTCCTCCTCCTCCTCCTCCTCCTCCTCCGCCTCCTCCTCCTTCCCCCTCCAGCTTATGGTGGTGGTGGTGGAAAACAGGCTCATCAAGATTGGGTCCGCGGAAGTCCCGACCCTTGCCACGAGGCCGGTGTTCGGTCCCGGGTCGTTTTCGGGCCGTTTTCTGAACGTCCCGAGGCCCGGCGAGGGCTCCCAGTGACAGGCCGCCTCGATCGGTTCGAGGCGTCGGAATAGATTTCTTCTGACACGAGTTTGCTGCTAAAAGCCTCGATCACCCCCCTTCAAGCCTACGAGCAGATGGGGTCGCAGGACCGTGCCGCATCGCCGATGCACATGAGATGCGGCTCGATGCGGAGGCCCAATGCAGCGCCGGCGTCGCAGACACAGCGCCGACGTCGCCGATACAATGCCGACGTCGCCGATGCATCGGCGATCCGGCGCGATCCTCCGACCCCAGCCGCTCGGGCCCCATGTGGAAAGGCCTCTCGTACGGCGGCGGCATTGGATAAGGAACGCCTCCCTGGGGCCCACCCTGGCACATTCCTCAGTGTTTCAAGACGAGGCGGGCGGCCCGCGTTTGGCCGCCCATCGGTCGCGAGACCCGTATCTACTCGGACACCCCATCTGGCAGGCGCCCCCCCCTCTTCGCGTTTCGAAACGTCCTCGGGCCCCGCCTCGCCCGCGCACGCGCAAATGTCCACGATTTGCGAGCCCCTTGGACGCACGCCTCTTGGACGCCCCTGACCTACTCGGACCACATCCACGGAGATTTCCCACCCCCCCCCTCCCTGCCGCCGCGCGCCCGCGGCGCGCGGCGGGAGGCTCGACGCCCACGACCAGCAGGAGGAGCGCCGACGCGCACGACGACGACCACGACCACGACCACGACCACAACCACGACCACGACCACGACGACGACGACGACGACGACGACGACGACGACGACGACGACGACGACGACGACGACGACGACGACGACAACGACGACCACGACCACGACCACGACCACGACCACGACAACCACGACGGCGGCCACGGCAACAACCACCACGACGACGACGACGACGACGACGACGACGACGACGACGACGACGACAACGGAGAAGCGACGGCGACGGCGCGGCGGCGGCGGCGGCGGCGGCGACGACGACGGCGGCGGCGACGGGGCGACCGCGGCCCGCGGCTCGCCCGCCGCCCTGAGCGGGCGCGCATCGAGGTGCTGCCAGGGGGGAGCCTGGACGGGACAATAATCGCCCCCCCCCCCTTGAATCCGCTGGGGGGGGTTGGGCACGTGCTGTCGGAACGGGAGGAGGGAAGGTTGGAGGAAGGGGAGGAGGACGAGGAGGATGAGGAGGGGGAGGAGGATGGAGGTGGGCGGGATTGGGCAGGCTCAGTTGGGAGGTTCATCACCTCCCCCCTTGACAAGTACCGCATCCAGGGCAGCCCTGGCCCAGGGTGGCCTCCAGACGGGCCATTCCAGAGAGGCCTCGCCCTCGAGGGGCCGACGAGCTGGCACCTCTTCCCAGACGTACTGGCGCCGTGAAGAGATCACGACGGGAGCCTCTGGGGGCCTTCGCCAAGGCCCTGGGACCGTCAGAAAAAATCAGCTCGGGATGAGAAACCGGCCCTGGGGAAAGGGTCGGGACTTCTGAGGACCCCGCATTGGAAAAATCAGGACATCGTATGCTTGGATAAGTTCGTTCTGATGCTCGTACGGCAGCAAGACGGCGGCGGGCTTGCCGGCGGAAACCAGCAGAAGTAAAAGTTTCGCCGCAAAGAGACGGCAGTGTTCTGGGACACCGGGTTTCTCGAGCGCCCCAGGTGGCTTCCAAAGCACCCCTCACGAGGCCCAGAGGACTCCAGAATGGCGCGAGAATCCCCCCAGAGATCCAATGATTTGATTTCGTAAGTACGAGGCCCCTGCAAGTTCCCAACCCGCTTCCCAGGCCTGAGTCTCGTCTTGGGCCGTTTCCTGACGGTCCCGGGAGGGGGACGAGAGTTCCGGGCCGACGCCAGCGCGCCAGAGAAGGGAGATCCAGGCTCGGCGCTTTCGTCTTATGCACCGTCGTCGTGCTCTTCTTACCCAGACCTCCGATGTCTTAAGTGATTCAAGACGGGGTATACCCAGGGACCAGTTGTCGTCCCAGATCGTTTTTATTACGTCCTGGGGCCCAGCGAGGGCCCCCAGAGGCCGAAAACATGCCTAAAAAAAATGTCCGCCTTGATTTCTGCCAATACGCTGGAGATCGAAGGTCAAGCGACGACGCCATCGTCTTAGGCGTCGTCGTCATTGCAGCTTCCCTGATCTTTGAGGGCTTGATGACTTTCGCCAATCAACTTGCGGGGATCAAAGCAGATAAATATGTGTCAATCCAGATCTTCGCAACCTATGTGAACCTATGCTGTCCGCCCGAGGCGTGGCCAGCAGCTGACGACAAGCTTCATCGGGTACTATTTTTGCTGATGGCTTTTTCTGTAGACGTTGAATAAATCCATGGTGATTCCAGCGAAATTTCCAGGGAAATCTGGAGCAAGTCGTGGACGTTCCAGCGCGAGCCGAGGGGCAGCGCTGAGCCCTTCACGCCCACACGGCCCGGAGAGCAGTTCCGCAGCTTCCTGCTGCGAGGTGCGCACGGCCCCAGGATCCCCGACCCCTTCTCCTCCTCCTCCTCCTCCTCCTCCTCCTCCTCCTCCTCCTCCTCCTCCTCCTCCTCCTCCTCCTCCTCCTCCTCCTACTCCTCCTCCTCCTCCTCCTCCTCCTCCTCCTCCTCCTCCTCCTCCTCCTCCTCCTCCTCCTCCTCCTCCTCCTCCTCCTCCTCCTCCTCCTCCTCCTCCTCCTCCTCCCTCCTCCTCCTCCCTCATCCTCATTCCTCCTCCTCTCCTCCTCCCTCCTCCTCCTCCTCCCCTCCTCATCTCATCATCATCATCATCATCAGCATCGCATCAGCATCAGGCATCAGCATCTCATCATCATCATCATCATCATCATCATCTCATCATCCATCATCATCAATCATCATCATCATCATCATCATCATCCTCATCATCATCATCACAATCCCCCCTCCTCCTCCTCCTCCTCCTCCACCTCCTCCTCCTCCTCTCTCCTCCTCCTCCTCCTCCTCCTCTCCTCCTCCTCCTCCTTCCTCCTCCCTCCTCCTCCTCCTCCTTCCTCCTTTCCTCCTCCTCCTCTCCTTCCTCGGTCATCATCATCATCATCATCATCATCATCATCATCATCATCATCATCATCATCATCCATCATCATCATCATCATCATCATCATCATCATCATCATCACATCATCTCCTCCTCCTCCTCCTCCTCACCTCCTCCTCCTCTTCCTCCTCCTCCTCCTCCCCCTCCCTCCTTCCTCTCCTCCTCCTCCTCCTCTCCTCCTCTCTCTCCTCATCATCATCATCATCATCATCATCATCATCATCATCATCATCATCATCATCATCATCATCATCATCATCTCCTCCTCCTCCACCCCTCCTCCTCCCTCCCCTCCTCCTCCTCCTCCTCCTCCTCCTCCTCCTCCTCCTCCTCCTCCTCCTCCTCCTCCTCCTCCTCCTCCTCCTCCTCCGCCCTCCTCCTCCTCCTCCTCCCCCCTCCCCGCGGGCACTTTCTCGCTCCAGATCCGCTTCTGAATGGTCACAGCCCAGGCCCCCCAAATGGGGTCCGAGCATATGGGGTCGAAGGATCGCGCCGCATCGCCGATGCATCGGCGATGCGGCTCGGTGTGGAGGCCGAGTTCCTCCTCGCCAACTTTGCCGAGGTATCCGGGACGCATCGGTGATGCGGCGCGATCCTCCAACGCCATCTACTCGGACCCCAGTCTAGCGGCCTCTAACAGCGGCCCCCTTACAACGGGAATCAAGGAAAAACGCATGGATCGGAAAAGACACAACCATCGGAGACCTGAGCGACGCAAGACAACTGGGTCGATAGCGCGGACATTCGCGCGCAAGCTGCCCGCGCAAGGTCGCGCGTAAGTGCACTCATTTCCATTGCAGTGTGCCGCACTGGCGGCCCGCTTCAGCCGCCGCGTAAGGTCGCTACGTCATCTTGCGTAAGGCCCGTGTCTTTCCTCCGCCAACCGATCCCCGAGACCGCTCCTGGGGTACCCTCTTCCCAGAATCCCCAGGCGGATCCAGCCGTGGCCAAGCGAAGCTTCTCGGAGGACCAGAGCCGCAGGGTAAATTCGATCCTCGAGCTCCGACCCTCGATATCGCTCACCCTCGGGGCTCCTCTCCCTTGGCAGCCCCCCGCCCCGGCGCCGCCCAGGAGCAGCTCCGCGGCCTCGTGCGCGAGGTGCGCGCGGACCTCGCCGCGCGCCTGGACGCGCTGGAGGGCCCGCGAGACGGCGACACGGCTCCCTGCGCGGGCGGCCGCCCGCCTCGGCGGCCCCCCAAAGGCCCCTCAAAGGCCACTCGGCGGCCCTCGGCGGACCTGGGCGGCGACGGCGGCGGGCGACAGGGGCAGTTCGAGGATTCAGAAGGTTCTCATCGCTTCTTTGCGGCCTTCCAGCCTCGGGATGCTTTCCAGCAGCTGCGCCTCGCCGAAAGCAGTCCCGGGGTTCCCGTGTTGTCCCGATCGGCCGCCAGAGACCCGAGCTGCGACCTGAAAACCGACGAGGGTCATTCGGCGGATCCAGGCCGTGTGCGAGCAGTTGCTGTGCGAATAATGGAACGCGCATGCCCAGAAAAGCAAGCCCCTGGGAGGAGGGAGGGGAAGGGAGGGATGAGGGAGGAAGGAGGGAGGAGGAGGGAGGAGGAGGAGAGGAGGAGGGAGGACGAGGAGGGAGGAGGATTTTTTTTTGCTGTAGGCAATTGCTCAGGCAAGCTTCCGCAGAGGAGGGAGGAGGAGGAGGAGAGGAGAGGAGGAGGAGAGGAGGAGGAGGAGGAGGAGGACGGGAGGAGGGAGGGGCAGTCCCTGGAAAGGGGCCCAGAGCTCCAGGGAGCCCGCATCCACAAAAGTCAAGACATCGGCGGTCTGGGCCCCTCGGCGGCGCCTCGGCGCCGCCCCCTCGGCGGCGCCTCCGCGGCTATCGGCGGCGAGGGCGACGCCGGCGGACGTCGTCGTCCTCGTCCTCGTCCTCGTCCTCGTCGTCCTCGTCGTCCTGGCGGAGGAGGAGGAGCTAGGAGGACGAGGAAAAGGAGGAGGAGGAGGAGGAAGAGAGGAAAACGACAGCCGCTGGCGAGACTGCTCCCATCAGCACGCTTGCGTAAGTCAAGCTCCACCGCCCTGACGGCAGTGGGAACACATCTTCGACCACTGCGTTCGACAATATATTGAGAGCCTTCGCGTCAGGACGAAGATCTGCGACACTAGGCAGTTCTCGCCGTCTAAGGAGTGAACGAGTCGGCCGATCTCAGGAGCCGTTGCCACCCCTTATCATGCGCTGCATAAGCAGATTCTCAGGACCGCCACCGATTGAAAGCTCGCACTCACCACTTTACGCCTGACTGCCACTGTTGCGATCGCGGGCCGAGACGCTCAACCAGCCAGGTGTCCAAAGAAAGTCCACTGCTACCCGCATTAACGAGCAAACGTCCAACATTCCGAATGCAGGGAAACGGAAGAGTAGCAAACTCAAGAGGTCTCAAAGGGCAGCGCACGAACATAGCCCAGCGCATTGCCAGGAGAAGAAGAAGCATGCACAGGCCACGCACCTAAGCCACAACGGCAGACATTCAGCACATGATATCGAAAGGGGGACCAGGGCCACATCGCGTTCAATGCGGCCAGGTAGCAGTCGACCTGCAGCGGAGCCCCATAGCCATCCCGCAAGCTGGCCCGAGGTGGCAGGAGTCTGGACTTGGCGGGCCCTCTGCATTGAGCCAAAATGACCACAGACCTTACAGCCACACACATATCAAAGAAGCCTGCCTCCACTAACTTCTATCCCGTGGCGAAAAAGAAGACCCACGAGACTGCCTACCCCTTCAATCAGACATCGACAGGTGGGCGGATCACAATCCCCAGCTGCTACGAGGGCCAGATCGTTAGGCGCCGCGTGGGCTGGCTTGCCGAGGACGAGCGGAAGCACGTCGCCGACCACGCGCCGCCGTCGGCTGCCGCCGTCTGGCCCGAGAGGCCGCTAGCGCGGGCCATCTCCCCCTCAGTCGACGCCTTCTCCGTCCCTGGGGCCGAGGAAGTCTCCACGCCGCCTGCACCGCCACAGACGTCTCCGACCACCTCCTGCACGCCCTGCAGGGCCGCTTCGCCCAGGGCTGCTCCCGGAAGTGACCCTGGGAGCCCTCGCACCCCAAGCGAGAGTCGAGCCACACCACGCAGCCCGCCAGAAATTGCTTGATCGCTTGGCTGCTCGGCCCCGCTCCGACGACGACGACCCCCGCTCCGACGACGCCGACGACGACGACGACGACGACGACGACGCCGCCGCCGCCGCCGACGACGACGACGACGACGACAGTGGCGACGACGACGATGGCGACGACGACGATGGCGGCGACGACAAGGCGGCGACGACAGGGCGGCGACGGCCGCAACGGGCACGGCGACGGCAACGACGGCAGCGACGACGGCGGCGGTCACACGCCAACGGCGGCGGCGGCGGCGGCGGCGGCGGCGGCGGCGGCGGCGGCGGCGACGACGACGACGACGACGACGACGACGACGACGACGACGACGACGACGACGACGACGACGACGACGACGACGACGACGACCGCCGCGGCGCGACCGCCTCTGCCGTCCGCCCCCGCAGGCGACAGCGCGTTCGCCGCCGCACTGGGAGAGGTACGCGACCGCCTCTCCGCCCGGCTGGACACCCTCGAGGCTTCGGCCGAGGCGGTGCGGCTCGTCGTCGCCGCCGCGCCGTCGTCTCCGCCGCCGCCTTCGTCTTCGCCGCCGTCGCCGTCTCCCCAGCTCTCCGAAGATGAGTGACCAAAAGACATGACAAGAAACAGGTCTTGCACAAGATGGCATAGCGACCATACGCCGCAGCTTACGCAGGCCGCCAGCGCGGCACACTGAATTGGGAGCGGGGGCGCTTACGCGCGACCTTACGCGGGCAACTTGCCCTCGAATGCACTCGCAGTGGACCCCGTTGTTTTGCGTCGCTCAGAGTTCCGAGGGTCTGATTTTGACCATGCGGGCGCTTTTCCAAAATTTTGACTGATGGGCTGGGGCCCATGGGACCGCGGATTGAAAAAAAACAGATCGGAGGATGTCAGGGTCCGCCGCCGACGTCGTCGGTGTCGCCGCCGCCGCCGTCGTCGCAGTTGTCGCCGTCGTCGTCGCAGAGAAAGACGACGAGGAGGAGGAGGAGGAGGAGGAGCAGCAGCAGCAGGAGGAGCAGGAGGAGGAGGAGGAGGAAGAGGAGGAGGAGGAGGGCCCCTTCTCTCCTCCTTATTTTCCCTCGTCTTCCTCCCCCCCAATCGCTGGCTCAGACACGTCACATGATCGCGCTGCTCAATCCCAGTCCCGTTCCCCTCACCCAGGCCGCCTCGCCACTTCGACGTCCTCCCAGGGGTCTCCTAGTCGCCTGCGAGGCCCGTGGCCCCGGGCGGCTCCCTCGCCGCCTCCCCCTGTTCATCCTCCTCCCCCGCTCCTCCTCCTCCTCCTCCTCCTCCTCCTCCTCCTCCTCCTCCTCCTCCTCCTCCTCCTCCTCCTCCTCATCCCTCCTCCTCCTCCTCCTCCTCCTCCTCCTCATCATCATCCTCATCCTCATCCTCATTCCTCATCCCCATCCCCATCCCCATCCCCGTCCTCATCCCCATCCTCATCCTCCTCCCCTCTCTTTTTTCTGGGCAAGCTGCTGAGCCTCTGGGACCTGTAACGCCAACTCCGCCTCCTCCCCCCCCTTCTCCTCCTCCTCCTCCTCCTCCTCCTCCTCCTCCTCCTCCCCTCCTCCTCCGCTCCTCCTCCAATTCCTCCTCCCCCTCCTCCTCCTCCTCCCTCCTCCTTCCTCCTCCTCCTCCTCCTCCTCCTCCTCCTCTTCCTCCTCATCCTCATCCTCCTCTTCCTCTCCTCCTCCTCCTCCTCCTCCTCCTCCTCCTCCTCCTCCTCCTCCTCTCCTCCTCCCTCCTCCTCCTCCCCTCCGCCTCCGCCTCCGCCTCCGCCTCCGCCTCCGCCTCCTCCTCCTCCCCCTCCTCCTCCTCCTCCTCCTCCTCTCCTCCTCCTCCTCCTCCCTCCTCCTCCTCATCCTCCTCCTCCTCCTCCTCCTCCTCCTCCTCCTTCTCCTCCGCCTCCTCCTCCTCCCTCGCCTCCTCCCTCGCCGCCTCCCCCATCTCTTCCTCGGAGTGGCCAGGGCAGGTGTCGATGTGGCGGGCGGTGGGGCAGGGCACGTGCATCCACTCCGCCTCTTCTATGCTAGGCGAGCGTCGGCTCGACGCCCTTTTGCGCGGCCGTGACCTGACCCCCCGCCTCTTGCCCCCCTCATCCCCTGAGGTCCGACGCTGCGAAAAAGCCCAGACGTGGCGAACAATCGCCACCGAAGCCCCAGGCCCCACCTTTCTACCGAATTCTTCGACCCAGACCGATTTGTGATGGTGCTGGGCCCTCGAAACCGGGCGAAGACGCTTGGCGTGAAGAAGTTGCCATGCCGGGATCTCGGAGTGTCCCCAGACCTCCGACGTTTTGATGTTTTCAGTGCGGGGTCTTTGGAGCTCTCGAGCACTTCCCCCGGACCGGTTTTTCGTCGCGGACGGTTTTAGTTGGAGGTCCCGGGGCTTGGCGAAGGCCTTCGGGGTCGAAAACAAACAAAAATGTCCGTCTTGATATTCGTCAATACGTCGGAGATCGAAGCTCAAGGGTCGACGCCATCGTATTATAGGCGTCGTCGTCGTGCTCGTCCTACTCGGCGACACCCCCCCGATCCATAAGGGCTTGACGAGTCGCGCCAATCGACTTGCGGGGACTACGGCAGATGAACCTATGCAAATTCATCTGTCGCCGAGCCCCTTATTCCGACGCGCGGCCTTACGCCTTGGGGAGAGCACTTCGGCCACCAGGGCAAACTCCGCCTCGGACACAGAGTTTCCGTGGGTCTGTCGCGGTGTTGGCCTCGTCTATTTGGGGGCGTTCAGAACGATCGGCGCGGTGACGTGAGAGCGTTGCAGGAAATCGAGCTCGTCTTCACCGAAATTGGCGCGCAAGCTGCCCGCGCAAAGTCGCGCGCAAGCGCCTTCGTTCCCGCCGTGGCGTGCCGCGCTGGCGGCCCGCGTGAGCCCCCGCGTAAGGTCGCTGCGCCTTCTCGCGTAAGACCCCCTTTTTTTGTCGCCAGCCCGCGACCCCCCCCCCCCCCCCCCGGGCCTCCAGACAACCCGGGATTGTCCGCCCCCCGTCTGCCTGCCCCGCCCCCCCGCTATTGCGGTGGCGCCCAGGCCCGCGAAACTATTTGTTTAATCGTCCGGCCCAGGAAGTTGTTTTGTTTTATCGCTTACTCTCCAATTAGGACCTCCGCCTGGAATGTTTCTTCAACATTTTGGAGGTCTGGGTCCTGCTCCTCGGACGGCTGACCCCCGATCTCCCCTCGGCCCTCTGCGCGTTTCAGGCCACGGCCTTCTTTGGCCTCGGTGCCGAAGCGGCCGCGGCGAGGCCCGCTGTGCGCGCGACGCCCCCCGCGAGGGTCACCCGCGCGCTGTCGCCAGCTACCCCTGAGATGCTGGGCGCTGCGATTTTTCAACGCCAGGCGTTGTCGCCCGGCGGCGGGCCCTGGGACCAGCACAGACCGACCCGGCGCGGAAAGTGCTGCAGAGAACGGTTGTGGTTAATGGTGAAATTAAAATTTTAATGGTGAAATAGAAATGTTAAAGGTGGAATAAACACTACGTACATACACATACACTACGTAAATACACAACGTAAATACACTACGCAAATACACTGCGTAGACGCATTACGTACATGAGTACGCTACGTCCGCACACGACGTGTGTGACCAGGGAAGTCTCGTCACAGTGCGCTCCAGCGGCTGGCGCGGCCCTGCGAAGTCCGGACATCGAGGGCATTATGCGTAGTGTTTTTGCGTAGCGTTTTCAGGAACGCCCCGAGTCGGCAACGCTGCTACGCGGGAAGCAACACTCTCGAACCGCTACGCAGCAGCATGCCGCGTCGCCCGCGTCTCTCGCCACTTTCGCCCGACGCCGCGGGCAGTCGCGGTTTCGGGCGGAACTGGCGCGAGACGCGGGCGACGATGGCATTCTACGTAGTGCTTAAACGTAGTGTTTTCAGGAGCGCCCCAAGTCGGCACGCAACCACGCAGCAAATAACGACGCCCAAACCCCGCGTCGCCCGCGTTTCACGTCACGTTCGCCCGAGACCGCGAGGAGCCGCGGTTGCGGGCGGAATTGGCGTGAGACGCGGGCGACGAGGGCATTCTGCGTAGTGTTTTACGTCGTGTTTTCAGGAGCGCCCCGAGTCGGCCCGCCACCACGCAGAAAGAAACTACGCCCAAACCCCGCGCCCGCGTCTCACGTCACTTTCGCCCGAGGTCGCGGGGAGCCGCGATTTCGAGCGGAATTGGCGCGAGACGCGGGCGACGAGGGTATTCGGCGTAGTTTTTTACGTAGTGCGTTCAGGAGCGCCCCGAGCCGGCGCGCCACCGCGCGGAAAACAACACGCCCGAACCCCAACGCCGCAGCACGCCGCGTCGCCCGCGTCTCTCGCCACTTTCGCCCGAGGCCGCGGGCAGTTGCGGATTCGGGCGGAGCTGGCGCGAGACGCGGGCGACGATGGCATTTTGCGTAGTGTTTTAAAGTAGCGTTTTCAGGAGCGCCCTGAGTTGGCGGACAACCACGCAGAAAGAAACTACGCCCAAACCCCGCGCCCGCGTCTCGCGTCACTTTCGCCCGAGGTCGCGGGGGGCCGCGGTTTCGAGCGGACTTGGCGCGAGACGCGGGCGACGAGGGTATTCGGCGTAGTGTTTCTGCGTAGTGTGTTCAGGAGCGCCCCGAGCCGGCGTGCCACCGCGCGGAAAACAACACGCCCGAACCATAACGCAGCAGCAATCAGCAGCATGCCGCGTCGCCCGCGTCTTTCGCCACTTTCGCCTGAGGCCCCGGGCAGTCGCGGATTCGGGCGGGATTGGCCCGAGACGCGGGCGACGAGGGCATTCTACGTAGTGTTTCAACGTAGTGTTTTCAGGAGCGCCCCGAGTCGGCACGCAACCACGCAGCAAATAACGACGCCCAAACCCCGCGTCGCCCGCGTTTCACGTCACGTTCGCCCGAGGCCGCGAGGAGCCGCGGTTTCGAGCGGAATTGGCGTGAGACGCGGGCGACGAGGGCATTCTGCGCAGTGTTTCTGCGTAGTGTTTTCAGGAGCGCCCCGAGTCGGCAACGCTGCTACGCGGGAAGCAACACTCCCGAAACGCTACGCAGCAGCATGCCGCGTCGCCCGCGTCTCTCGCCACTTTCGCCCGACGCCGCGGGCAGTCGCGGATTCGGGCGGAACTTGCGCGAGACGCGGGCGACGAGGGCATTCTGCGTAGTGTTTTTTACGCAGTGCTTTCAGGAGCGCCGCGAGACGCGGGCGACGATGGCATTTTGCGTCGTGTTTTTACGTAGTGTGTCCGGGATCGCCCCGAGTCGGCCCGCCACCACGCAGCAAATAACGACGCCCAAACCCCGCGTCACCCGCGTTCCACGTCACGTTCGCCCGAGGCCGCGGGGAGCCGCGGTTTCGAGCGGAATTGGCGCGAGACGCGGGCGACGGGGGCATTCTGTTTAGTGTTTTTAGGTAGTGCGTTCAGGAGCGCCCCGAGTCGGCAACGCTGCTACGCGTGAAGCAACATTCCCGAAGTCGGCGCGCTACTACGCGGAAAACAACACACCCGAACCCCGAGGCAAACACACTGCGCGAAGACACTACGCAAATACACTACGCAAAAACACGACGCAAATACACTACGCAAATACACTACGCAAATACACTACGCAAATACATTACGCAAATACACTACGCGAAAACACGACGCAAATACACTACGCAAATACACTACGCACACACACACACACACTACGCACACACACACACACACACACACTACGCAGATACACTACGCAGATACACTACGCAAAAAATCACGCTCATTACCGAGACACGATGCCAATACATTACGTGCCTACGTGGTCGTCCACGCCGAAACACGTCGCGAAACAACACGCCGAAACGCCACGCCGAACGGCACGCCGAAGCACTGCGCAGAAATATTGCGCAGGAACACAACGCAGAAACACCACGCAAACACGTTACGTGAAAGCACACCGCGAGATTACGACGCAAGAAACACTACGCGAAAACATCACGAAAGAAACATTACGCAAGAAACATCACGCGAGAAACACTACGCAAAAACATTGCGCAAAAACGCGACGTAAAAACATTACGCCAACACACTACGCAAACACATTGCGCGAAGACACTATGCAAATGCACTACGCAAATACATTACGAAATACACTACGCAAACATACTGCGCAAATACAGTGCGCGAATACACCTGGCAAATACACTACGCAAACACACTACGCAAACACACTACGCAAATACACTACGCAAATACATTACGCAAATACACTACGCGAATACACGACGCAAATACACTACGCAAATACACTACGCAAATACACTAACCTCATGCCCGTGAGAATAAACACTAGGGGATAATAAAGTTCGGGGTTCAGGGAGAGATAATAAAAGTAGCCCAGCAGACCTCAGCATAATCTCGAAGTAAGAGATGATCAAGAGGAGACCAAGCCGAGCACGTTTTGAGACATCCTTGGCGTCTAGTTTTCATAGAAATATCCTCAACAATGGCTTATCTCTGATGAAAATTGTTTTTTGTAAGTGCTCGTGTAGGGTAGCTCATGTGCCTCAATTTCCATGGATAATCAACCCCAGAGATAAAGAAGTTCGGGCGAGCGTGGGGACAGAGAGAAATATAAAAGAAGAAGAATACAGTAGAAGAATACTAACAAAGAAGAAGAAGAGGAGAATAAGAAGAAGACGAAGAAAGGAAAAATCCAAAGTTCCAAATCTATCAATTTTAATTTACAAACGCTTTATGAAAATTGATTGTTTTAAGTGCTCGTGTAGTGGATAATCAACCCCAGGGATAAAAAAGTTCAGGCGAGCGTGAGGACAGATAGAAATATAAAAGAAGAAGAGGAAAGTAGAAGAATAATAAGAACATTGCTCGTTTCGTTTGAGTCTGCCTCCCAAAATTATTGGTTTCGCTTGACACATCCTGAAAAAGTGTGATCGCTTCGCTTGATGTTGCTATATCAACATCGCTTGATGTTGCTATCTCAACATAGCGTTTCGAGGTGATAATGAAGTTCGGCCTCAGCGCTCGCCGCCCAATTTGAATTTTGTATAGGGCGACGATAATCAACTCTAAACACTGAAGGGGGGGGGTCCCTTTATTATCATCGGCATGCGGTTACGCAGCTTCATTCTTCCCTGAAGCATAGCTCTCCTGCAGAGAGATGTGGTCCCGGGCTCCGGTCGTGATTAGTCTGCGGTGTTGTTTTTTTCGGCCGTGTTCCACAAGAGTGGGTTGTCGCGGGAGTGACCGCTTGATGCGGGCCCACCGGGCCCCCGACTCAGACCCCCTCGCGTCGTTCAAAGAGATGGCACACGGTTTTTGTTGCAATTTTCGGCCTCTGGAGGGCCCTCGTTGGGCCCCGAACCCTTCAAAATAGCCGCATTCCGAATAAAAAACCCGTCCCGGGGAGTGGATGGAGACTTGGGGGGGTCCACGTTGGGAACGAGTCAGGACGTCGGAGGCCTGGAGATATGCCATGATACGATGTTTTGCGATCCTGGCGTTTCTCGAGTGCGGCCTCTGGGGAACGCGATCGGCTTCAATCTAGGCCTCCTAGATGGGTCCCAGTAGTGGGGTCGGACGATCGCACCGCATCGCCGATGCATCGACGATGCGACTTGATGTGGAGCCCGATTTTCTCCACGCCGACGTCGCGGATGCATCGCCAACATCGCCGACATTGGGGATACGGTGTGACTCTCCGACCCCATCTACTCCGACCCCATCTAGGAGGCCTCTGTTCAAGAAGGGGTCCAGGAGACAATATCAGCCAGCGTTGACTCCAAATTGATAGATGGACAGGAGAAGAGCGAGAGAAGGAGAACACGAGGAGGAGAGGACGGGAGGAGAGGAAACCAAGCATGAAATGGCAAGCAAAGGGAACCAAAATCAAGGGGAAGCAATGAGCAATTGAGAGGAGAGGAACCAAAATGAAGGGGGGGAGGGGGGCGCCATTGGAAATAAGGGGGGGGGCATTGGAAAGGGGGGGGGGCCTAAAGACCAATTACTCATGATGAGCTAGGACTCCTGTAGGGCAAGCCTATTTGGAGAAAATTTGCCCCCGGAAGAGGGGCCCCAGAGCTTCCAGGGGATGCCGCGGAGGAGGCCTGCAGACCCCATCAGGCGCTGGCCCCTCAGGCGCTCCTGGCTCGACCCCGCGGCCCCCCCCACACTCAGGCCGCGCACCTGTGTCGGGAGGAGGAAACACACACAGGCACAACTAGAATCGGCGGCTCCCAGGAAAATGTAGGAAAATACGGGAAGGGGGGGAGGGGGGGAAGACGATCCTCGGCGACTCCCGGGAAACGATGGGAGGATATTGGAAGGGTGGGGGAAGACGAAAGAGGCCAGAAAGGAAGGGAAAATAGGGGGACTCCTGGGAGTTGTGCCCACTCCTCCGTGCGTGTCCCCTGGGCCCCTCTTACCGTGGCCCCGCTTGGCCAGAGGGCCCGCCCCCGGGAGGCAGCCACCCTGCTGGTGGCCTCGACGCCGCCGTCGTCGTCGTCGTCGTCGTCGTCGTCGTCGTCGTCGTCGTCGTCGTCGTCGTCGTCGTCGTCGTCGTCGTCGTAGCCACCGCCGGTCCAGAGGACGGCGGCGCCGAGCGCAGCGCCCTGTGGGCCGCGCTGGAGGACTCCGGCCAGCGGGCCCGCGCGGCCAGGCGGTGCCCAGCTGCTCAGACCTCCTGGCGGGTTAGAAAAATCACGACGGAAGGTTTTTCGCTACATTCCTGGGCCTCGGGACCGTCCAAAAACGGCTCACGATGAAAAACTGGTCCTGGGGAAAAGGTCTGGACCTCTGGGGGTCGACGTTGCGAAAAAATCACGACGTCGGAGGTCTGGGTGGTCTGCACCGGACGGGCGGGGCCAGGACTGGGATACGGCAGGATGCCGGTGGGGCGAGAGATTCCATTGGTGCGCTGGTGGAGTGTGCCGCCAGGGACGCGTGGAGCAATCTCGAAGAGGTGTTCTGTGCGCCAGTGTGAGTGATGCTCTCTGCGGGCGCTTCGGCCCCAACCCGCGGCACCTGCAGGGTGCCCCAGTCATGTACGCGGGTCGCTGTCGCAGTCGCAGTCCTGCGTGCCGGAGAGCTCTGGGACGCCCGACCCGGCAGGTTCGCGTCGCGTCGCCCAGCAGCGACCCCGCCACCGGCGTTCCACGTGGAACGCCGCCAGCGACCCGGAATCGATCGATGTTGAACGATCTGACGTCTCAAAAACGGCCGATCGTTCGAGGTTGAACGATTGCCGCAGCGTCGGGAACCCACAACGTGGTCGATTCCACACGAACCTGCCGCACATCCTCAAGAACCGCCGGATCCCAGAGATCTCCGAGTTGTCCCCGTCCGATTTTGCCCGCCGCCCGGCGCTGCGCGGCGCCGGCACTCCGCGCCGCGCACAGCACGCGCGCGGCGCATCTTAGAGCTCAGCGCGCCGCGCCGCGCCATGCGGTGCGCAGCGCGGCGCGCGGCACGCGGCACGCTGCGCAGCGGCACTGGGGTTCAACGAGGGTTGGTGCGTGCTCGTGCATCAACGCGCCAGCCTGTGGGGCGTGGGTGCCGACCTTCGCTGCTTCCTCTGCTTTGTGCTCTCCCCAGTGTTACGTCGGGCATGTCCTCTACAGGAGGAATATTCAAAAATAGTCAAAAAAATAGTATGCGAACGATTTTTTTAATTTTGCTTAACTATTTTAGGACTAAAGACAAAAATCTGCATTTTTCCCCCAAAATCCGCCTGTAGGGGGACATGCCCAACGTAACCCTGATTTGATTGGGCGCGCCCCGCCTTCAGCCCGACTGGCGCCTAACTGCTTCCGCACCTTTGCGCCGACCTTGGGGCCCAGGAGGGTGGGGCCTGGCCGGAGCTAGTTCCAGTGTCAGCCCGCGCCCTATTGCCTGGGGCGGGACAGGAACGGCCAGCCGCAGGCATGCCCACGTCGTGAAAAAATCAAGGCGGGAGGTTTTGGGCCAGTTTCGGCTTCTGGTGGCCCTCGCCAGGCCCCGGCCGGTTTCGGCCTCCAGAGGCCCTTGCCATGCCCCAGGACCGTCCAAGATTGGGATGGCAAACCAATCCTCGGAAAAGGGCCCGAACATCCGGGGGCGCCCACATTGAAAAAATCAGAACATCAGATGTTTGGGAATGCATCTCTGGGCAATAGACACGTAGCAAGCTCCCAACCGGGCCTCGCCACAGACGAGTTGTAGGTTTGATTTCTCGCCTTCGGCGGAGGATGGCGGAAGGCCCGCGCAAGCCGGCGGAAGTAGAAAGGGGGCGGCTTCGCTCGCGGAAGGTCGGTGGAAGTGAAAGCGGACCCCCGACAGCGGCACCGCAACGGGTGCTCACTAACGGGTTCGTTGGAGGTGCGCCGAAAGTTGCCATTTTAGGGCCTTCGTTCTGGCATTGCAGCCTTGTCCACATCGAGGAGAGCTGAATTCGCCAGGTCACTGGCCAAAGTACCCGTTGGTGGAGTCCCCATTGGAGGGGCGTTGATTCCCCGAGAGCGGTCAGCTCCAGTGTCCCAGGGCTGCAGGAGCCGGGCACGATTATGGGCGGTGGTTCCAAATTCCGCCGAGCACCACGCTTGCGGGGGGGCAGAAGCAGGCATGCCCAGGACGAGGACCAGTCGCCCCAGAGCGTCCTGGAACGCTCTCGGGAGCGTTCTGGAGCGCTCCGACAGCGGCCGGTGGCGCTGGATACATCCTTGGGGCCAGATGGCTCTCAGAGTTTCCCGACCTGTCTCGATCCGATCTGGTATGGTTGTTGCTGTCTCCAGGGAGCCCACACGCACTTCAAAGCAGGCGTACGCTGGACAGGGGGCAGGTCCCACCTCGTGGCGCCAAGAGGCTGCGTTTTGGCGCGCACTGCAGCTGGAGTCGAGGCCCCTGCGACGCCTCACTGGGGTTACGTCGGCCGGGGGGGGGGGCGCTCGGGCCCTTCCATGTTTCGTTCTGCTGAAACTGCAGTCGCTTCAGCATCTGACTTCTCATCTTGCTTCTTGCGATCGCTGGTACTTCTTCGACTGGTTGAACTGCAGTCGCGTCAGCATCTGAATCCTCGTCTTGCTTCTTGCGATCGCTGGCATTTCGTCGCGCCTCGGGTATTAGGACGTGCTGCATACGTCGTTCGTCTTGGGAGAGCCTCGCTCTAGGCCAAGCCTATCGGGCCCACAACCGTCACTCCGAGGTTGCGGTTTGTTACCTGTCGTGTTCTGGTAGAAACAGAACCAAGCCACAAACAAAAACAAAGAATCGTCTTGCAGAAGCCATCCCGTTTCCTGAGATCGCCTCTCCAAGCACCGCCGACGCCACACATCAGAAGGTCCTTGACAGCGGTGAGGCTGTGTTTGCTGGCGTCGCTGGGGCACAAAATAAGAACCCCTAATTGTTTGGGGAAGAAACGCCGCACCGACCTTTTTCGAGCCGCCAGATGTCTGAGTCCCTGACTCTCCTCGCCCCCCCAGACCCCCGACGTCATGGTTTTTGTCCGCAGCGTCGACCCCCAGAGGTCCGAACCTTTTCCCTGGGACCAGTTTTTCGCCCGCGTCTTTTTTTGTTGACGGTCCTGGGGCCCAGCGGCCCCCAGAGGCTGACAACGCCCAAAACCTTCCGCGCTGAGTTTCTCGAGACGTTGGAGGTCCAGGGATGTCTACACTCGACCCTCCTCGCCCACGACCCTCGACCCTCGACCCTCCTCGCCCTCGACCCTCGTCGCCCTCCGTCTGGATCCCTCGACCCTCCTCGCCCTGTCGCTTTTCCTGCGCGCCGCCGGCCGCCGCAGCCTTGGGGTGGGGCCCGGAGCACCGCCGCGGCTTGCGGAGGACGTCCGCGGCGGCCTCTCCGCCAGGCTGGACACCCTGGACAGCCCAGTCGACGCCGGCCGGCTGTCGGGCGTGATCGTGGGGGCCCCAGACTCGCCTCGCCAGACATGCCCGCGTCGGGAAAGAGTCACGGCAGGAGGCCGTTTGCAGTGTTCGGCCTCTGGGAGCCCTCACCGGACCCCGGGACCGTCAGCAAGCAGCTCAGGACACAAAATTGGCTCCGGGCAGTGGACCGGGACGTCCGGGGACCGCGCGTCCAAGAAAAATCGGGATCCCCAGGAGATGCGCTGGCCACACCGTGCAGTGAGCCAGGGGACATTGCGCGCGCCCGACTCTCCACCGACTCTCGGCGGCTCCCGACCTCCTTCCCGCCTCCTCCGCGGCCGTCCTGCGCTGTTCTTCCCGCCCTGGTGCGCCCAGTGTCCTGCGCGGCGCGTCGGCTCTGCAGTCGCGCTCGCGTCCGCCAGCACTGCGGGCATGAAAAGCGTGGCGAGGCAGCGGGGATTCGGGGTGACCGCGCGGTTTTGGGGCCCGGGTCGCCCTCGGGATGTTTGGGGCGGCTGGGGCCTCCGGGGTAGCAAAGCGTTACGGTGACTGACCGTGCGGTGAGGTCTTTCGGGATGTCGTGGGAGCCGCAAACGTGTCCATCGGTCGTCGAACCCAGACCCCCTCGTATCGTGAAGACATCATGACAGGCGGTGTTCTGCCGTTTTCGTCCTGGGGGGCCCTCGCTGGGCCTCGGGACCGTTCAAAAGCAATTCAGGTCGAAAAACCAATCCCAGGGAACGGGTCGAGATCTCTGGGGGTCGACGTTGTGAAATAACACCTGACGTCCGGTGCCTGGGGACTCCCACACTCAATCCAACAATCCTTGGCCTTCGGAGGAAGCTTTCGGACCCCAGGACCATCAAAATGGACCCCAGACGCAAAAGCACCCCTGGGGAATAGTTCGGGAGCTCCAGGCCATCGGATTGCAAAAAACACATCGGAGGATGTTTGGTATCTGGGGATTTCCAGATTCCAATATGCTTGAAGCGCCTTTTTATTTCAAGTGTTGCGTTGTTTTCCCCATTGGAAAGGCGCCCCGTGCCGCCGACCCCAAAGGGGGGGGGCGACGGCGGCGGCGGCGGCGACGACGACGACGACGCTGACGCTCTGGAGCCCTTCCTGGGGCTCTCTTGGGATCTCTGTCGGGGCCGGGGCTCGGGCCGGGGCCAGGGCCGCTGCCAGGGCCAGGGCCGGGGATAAGGTCGGGGCCGGGGCCAGGGCCGGGGCTGGGACCGGGGCGGGGCCGGGGCCGGGGCTGGAGCCAGAGTAAAATTCGTTGTTCCCATCCTCGATCTCCATTTTCCCCTCCGCCTCCCCCTCCTCCTCCTCCTCCTCCTCATCCTCCTCCTCCTCCTCCTCCTCCTCCTCCTCCTCCTCCTCAGGCACATTACTGTCACTGTGGCCCGCGCTGGAAGCTGGTGCCCCCACCTGGTTCCGACCCGCTCCTGGCCAAATTCCCGTCTGTGCGTTTAGGGGTACGTGCTTGCAAAGCTACGCGATGACACCATCACCCGCTTGGTATTCCAGCTCCACACAGGAAATTACAAACGCGACCTACACAATCGCGGTCGCGGAGGAGTCGGAGATGGAGCGACGGATCGTACAGCCTTGAGGCCCGCTCGCACCCAATTTGCCCTCGCAACGCCAAGGGTCAGGTTTATTCAACTCGGCCGCCGCGCCCCCGCGTAACTCGTCATCAGCCCCTGAACAAGCTTTCGGCGCCACGCGGCCTCCTCCTCCTCCTCCTCCTCCTCCTCCTCCTCCTCCGCCTTGCTCCTTCCTCATTCCCCCCCTCATCCTCCTCCTTGCTCCTTCCTCCTTCCTCCTTCCTCCTTCCTGCTCCTCCTCCTTCCTCCTCCTCCTCCTGCTCCTCCTCCTCCTCATCATCATCATCCTTCCTCCTCCCCCTTCCTCCTCCTTCTCCTCCTCCTCCTTCTCCTCCTCCTGCCCCCCCTCCTCCTCCTCCTTCTCCTCCTCCCCCTCCACCTCCCTCCTCCTCCCCCCTCCTCCTCCCCTCCTCGTTTTCCTTCTTTTCCCTCCTCAGCCTCATTCTCGTCCTCCCTCATGGCCATTCCCTCCTCGCCATCCCACCCAATGGGCGGCTCGTGCTCGGCCTGTGCGTACAAGGTGTGTCTGCTCGGCTTGAGCGTATCGAGGGGTTCTCTATGTAAGCACATGTCTACAGATACAAGCAGAGATCTGTCTGTGTGTACACACATATATATATATACACACAGACAGACAGACCGACAGACAGACAGACAGGCAGACAAACTGACCGACAGACAGACAGACAGACAGACATGCATGTCTGCCTGCATGCATGCATCGGTACATACATACATACATACATACATACATACATACATACATACATACATACATACATACATACATACATACATACATACATACATACATACATACATACATACGTACGTACGTACATACATACATACATACATACATACACACACATACACACATACACACATACACACACATACACACATACATACGTACATGCATACATACATACCGAGCGACCTACCTACCGACCAACACATACACGTGTACACGCACTCTTGTCTAGTCATACAGATATACATATATATATATATGTATATGTATATGCGTACCTACATGTCTAAATACATACATATCTATATACATACATATATACAAATATATATGTATATAAACATACATACATGCTCACATAAATACATACATACCTACGTACATGCATACATGCATACATCCATACATATACACATGTATACATACATACATACATGCATGCATGCATGCATGCATGCATGGATAAACACATGTATGCATACGTACATACATTGATGCATGCATACATACATACATGCGTGCATGTATACATACATATATACATACAGTCAAATAGACATACATACATACATACATACATACATACATACATACATACATACATACATACATACATACATGGGTGTCTGCAATCATACATCCATGCATGCATGTATGCATGCACACATGCCTCGTCACAGACCTACAGCAATGCATACACATAGACATACATACACACGTACAATATATATATATATATATAATTGTACCCATGCATGCATATATGCATATCTGCATACAGCACAAACCTGGATACAAGTATGTATAGGCACGCATACACACACATACATGTATACCTGCATGCATGCGTGTACGCATACGTGTATGTAAAAATGCATACATATAGACGTGCATACATGCATGCACGAATGCATACATACATACATACATACATGTCTGCGCATCCTGCTAGCACCTACAGCACCTACACTTCCTCTATGTAGGCACCCGCGGGCGCCAGCGATTTGTTTCTCACTCTTGCTGTCCTGTGAGTGGAGTAATTCCCAACCTTCTTGCGTTGGGGTCTCGTTTGGAATACAGCACCGCGGTCGCACATAATTCTCACTATATGCCTGCTACCCTGCCTCCTACCTGCCTTTTTGCCCTGCCTCTGACTTGCCTGCTACCCTGCTTCATCGCCGTCTCTGGGGGGCTGCGATCTGCGAAACAGTCGCCACTTTCGAGGGGTGCTGGAGGGGGGGGGGGGCAGCCTAGTGGGCACTCGCCTCAGATTCAGAATATGCGACACAGTCGCCATTTTCGAGGGCTTCTGGGGAGGCCCCACCTCTCCGCGGCTTTCCCCAAGCCAGGCCCATCCTTGAGGGCCCATCGGGTCCGAAGCCAGGCCAAAACGCCGGGTGCGAATAAAAATCCGACGCCTAGATAATATCAGCAGCGCAGACCCAGACATCCGCCGATATGATTTGTTCAATACCCCAGAGGTCCCGGCCGCTTCCCCTGGGTTTATTGTTCGTCCCTGGTCCATTTGTGATAGTTCTGGAGCCCGATAACGGGCCCAAGAGACTGAAATTAGGGAAGAGCTCGATCCTCTGATGACAACAGGGGAAATTGGGACAATGTCTTCAACTTCCCTCGAGGATTTCGTGTTTCTTTAATTTCAACCGAACCAAGTGTTAATGCTTCTCGTACCCCCACCAGCCCATCCAGCAACGATGCCCAGGAGAATTGGCGTGACCAGGAAAGGGTAGGAGCAAGACAGGGGGCAGCCGATATCTGTCGAATGAAGAGGAGGATGGAGGAGTAAATGGAGGAGGAGGAGCAGGAGGAGGAGATAGAAGGACAAGGAATAGGCAGATGAGAAGCAGGAGGAGGAGGAGGAGGAGGAGGAGGAGGAGGAGGAGTGCGAGCAGACGGTCAGAGGCAGCTTGGATGCCTGGGGGCGTCCTTGGAGGCCTCTTAGGCCGTCTTGGATGCCTCTTGGCGATCTCAGGTGCCCCTTGGGGCGTCTTGGGTGCTGTTGAGGGGTGCCTCTCGAGGCCTCTTGGGGTCGTTTAAGCACCTCTTGGGGGCCTCGTGAGGCCCTCTTGGGAGCCTTGGAGGCCCTCTTGAGGTCATCTGGTAGGATATCGATCAAAGAAGGGGCAGTCCTGAATTACCGGCGCCCCTCTACTTAAAGCGCTCTTGAAACGCTCTTGGGGCCGTCTTGGGGTTGTCTTGGGCCTCCCTTGGTGCCCTCTTAGACCATCTTGGAGCCATCTTGAGGCTTCAGAAGACCATAAGAAGCGAAAAGGCGAGAAAGCAAAAACATTGATTCCCCTTCGGTCTTGGAAGGATTTGGGCCTCTTGGGGGCTCTCTTGGGGGTGCTCCGAGGCCACTTGGAGCCGTTTTGAAGCGGTCTTGGAGCCTCTAGCGGCTTCTTGTAAACCATCTCGAGCAATTTTGAGCCGTCTTGGAAGCCATCTTGGGCTCCCTGAGGCCCTCTTGGAGCCAAAATGGGCCGTCTTGGACGCTCCAATCGGTCGCCGGGCGCCCCGTCCAGGTCCAGGGAGAGGGGGTAGGTGAAGGGGCGAACCCTTTCCCGAAGGGGAAAAAGGGAAGGCAGAAGACGGCTGAAGCAATCACGCCCAGAGGGCTGGTGGGACTGGACAGTGGGCCCGAGAGAAGGGCAGAGCCCGAGCTGACGAGTCCAGGCGCTCGGAGGGCCGAATCCTGGTGGCCCGCCGAGGAGGAGGTGCGCGACGGCCTGGCCGAGAGGCTGGGCGCACTCGAGCGATCCGCGGCCGCGCGGGCCGAGGAGACCGGGCTGGTCTGAAGGGCCCCCCCCCCCGCGGGAGAGGTCGTCCTTGCAGCGGAGCGCACGACGACGACGACGTCCACCTCGGTCCTCCTCCTCCTCCTCTTTTTTTTGTCCGTTGCTCGGACGCGGGCGCGAACCTGCTGCGTGCTTCCTCCTCTTCCTCCTCCTCCTCCTCCTCCTCCTCCTCCTCCTTCTCCTCCTCCTCCTCCTCCTCCCCGCATCAGACGGCGGGCGCCGCAATCCTGCCGCGCCGGGCGCCTTCGCCGGCCTGCGGGCCCCAAGACCATCCCAGATCTATCCTGAAGTCGGACCTGTCCCTCTACAGGAGGAAGATTCAAAGATAGTCAAACAAAAGCTTGGGGACGATTTTTAGACTACATGTGATCATTTGTTGAATATTTGTTTAGTATTTTCAATTATTTGCCCAGACTCCCCTGCCGGGGGAAAGGCCCGACCTGGTCCTTGCAGCGGAGTGCACGGCGACGACGGCAGCGACGACGACGCCCACCTCCCCAGAGAGCGGGGCGCCGCAGTTCTGTCACGCCGGGCGTGTTCGCCGGCCTTCGGTCGGGTGTGGCCCAAGGTACCCCCCTGATTCTCGGGGTGCCCCAGGCGGCCTCCAGGGAACCCCTCACGAGGCCCAGGGGGCCCCAGGGGCTCCAAGATGGAGCGAAAAGCAGCACCCAATTCGGGCCCCAGCACCACCACAGATCTATCTGTCTCGAACAATGCCGCAGAAGGATGGGGCCTCGAGCTCCTGAAGTGATTGTTCGCAGTGTTGCATTTTTGTTCGCGGCGTCGGTCCTCCGGAATTCTCGCGTTGCCAGGTCTCATCAGGTCTCCTAGGATCTGACTTGTTCAATCTGGGCGCCGATCTTCGATTTCGGCCTCCGGAGCCCGCTATTGGACCTTGGGGCTACCAAAACTAGTCCCGGGACGCAAGACGACCCCAGGGGAAGGGGTCGGGAGCTCTGGGGCCGGCGGATGGACAAGATCATATCGGAGGACGTCTGGGTTCTCGTCGGTTCCGAGAGGCCTTCCGGCTTCCAGGTGAGCGGTGCAAAAAGCGGGGTCGCTTACGCCGATATCGGCGCGCAAGCTGCCCGCGTAAGGTCGCGCGCAAGCGCCCTCGTCCTCAATGTGGCGTGCCGCGCGGGCGGCCCGCGCAAGCCAGCGCGTGAGGCCGCTGTGTCATCCTGCGTAGGACCCGTTTTTGATCGTCGCTCGGGTGTCTTCCAGCAGCTGCGCCCCGCCCAGGGCGTCCCGGGCGTGCCCCCGAACCGTCCCCGTGCGGCCCCCGCCGCAGCCCTGGGCCGTGGCCCGAAGACCAGCGGTCTGCCGGGAAGCTGGACGCCCAGCTCGGGTTTTGGCTCGCGGCGTGGCCCCCCACAGGGCTGGGCCCCTTCCTCAGGATTGTAACGTTCCAGCCTACTTTTCGCCTTGATGCCAGAAGGAACTTCGAGCACCTGGAAAGCACCGAAGCTGGAGGGCTGTCACGCGTCGGGACCTGGGAGGCGATGCTCGTTCGACACTTCGCCAGCGTGTCTAGCAGATACTGATTCGATCTTTTCCTGGGTGCTCGGAATTATTTCTGGGATGTGGTGATTAAGTACGATGGGAGCAACGTAACGCCAGGACCAGTTCTTCATCCCGAGTGTTTTTGCGGCGGTCTTGGTGCCCCGCGGGAGTCCCCAGAGGCCGAAGCCGTCCAAAAACCTCCCGTCGCGATTTTCTCACGACGCGAGGGGGTCCTGGGAACGCCGCAGGAAAAGGGCACACAGAACCTCTGCAGGCATCCATCCCGCCCAACTCCTCGAGCCGTGTCCAGCCGTGACCGCGAGAACCCCTGGAGACGTCCGAAGACCACGGCGAGACCAGTGGGCTGGGTACGCACGGCGTGGCCAGCTGTGGCGAGGGCTGGGTGCCCACGGGGCCGCATGCCTTCCCATCGCCGCGGTCGGCACGTCCACCCTCCGCGTGCGCGCCGGCGGCGGTGCCTACCCATGTTCCACGTGTGCTTCCAGCCGCGCGCGCCCTGACATCCACGACTCCACCTTCGGGGGCCCTTGCTGGGCCATGGGGCGGGCAAAGTACGACTCTGGATGAGAAACGGGTCCCCATGACGAGGTCCAGACCTTTGGGGAGTCACGCTGTGAAAAAAAAAAAAAAAAAAAAAAAAAAAAAAAAAAAAAAAAAAAAAAAAAAAAAAAACGACGCCGGATGTCTGGGTTCTTGGTACCGTGTCAGGGAGAGCTGGTAAGAGGGAAGTCCTCCGACTTCTCCCTATTATCATCATCTTCAGCAGCAGCATCATCATCATCATAATCCCGATCATCATCACCACCATCATCATCATCATCATCATCATCATCATCGTCATCATCATCATCATCGTCATCATCGTCATCGTCATAGTCATCGTCATCATCATCAGCGTCATCGTCATAATCATCAGCGTCATCATCATCAGCATCATCATCATCAGCAGCATCATCACCATCATCCCCCTCTGCATCCTCCTCCTCCTCCTCATTATCAGCATCCCTTTATGTTAGTTACATAGACGTAGATCGAAGCAGTACAGCAAGAAAAGCGGCCCACAAGACACCCACGATTGCAGCCACACGCGACGCACAGAACCGACACCCACCATGATGTCGAAGTGCTGCTGGAGCTCCAATGACCACACGACCGCCACACTGGTAAACGAAACATCACCAGCCGCGTACATGCCATGCCTAACAAGCAGGCAGCGTAAAAGATTCAGGCATGCGTGCACCAAGAACCCCACTTTCGGAATCCCCAGCTGGACCATGACGCGCTGCACCGACGTGGGGTGCTCCAGGAGGCGTCGCCAGAACACCTCTTGGCCGTGCCAGTCCATGCACCCAGTAGGGCCTGGGTTGCCTCCTACCCACAGCCGTAAAGGAGGGTGTGGGTCGGCCGAAACGGTTGCATGCGGTAGACGTGCAAGGCAGCCATGAGCTAGCCGCAAGCCTGTCACGAGCGCCACCTTGAGCTCATCCGCTCCTGCAGGAGTCAGGAGCGGGAGAGCGACCCCCCGTTGGTGGATGTGCAGCAGGCGAGCTCCCTCCCGTCGTAGGCGCATCCACAGGCCCTGGGCGAGTGCCAGAGCATCCTCAGGCACGCGAAGCAGCCGGCCGGCCGCACCGCAGAGGTCCGCAGCCCGAAAGTCCATTGCTCCGGCAGGGCCAGTACAACACCCACCCTCAACGTGGACTACCCACCCAATGTAACCCAGACCTCGGTGACATCGAGCCCGGCCCGCGCGGAGTGGGCGTGACCTTCGCATTCCAGCGACACGCGGGTCTCCGAATAATGCTCCGGCTTGCGCGTGGGCCGCGTCTCTGATTGAAAATGTTGCCGTCGTCTAGGCGCCAGCGACGTCCTTCGCTGAGCGTGGTGTTCTCGCCTGTGCGTGGGCCACGTCTCTGATTGAAAACGCAGAGAAAGAAGTGCTCGGACTTGCGCGGCGGGGGGCGTGACCCACGGGGAGCACCAGCAGGAGGCGCCCCAGCCGCCCGGCCCGCGAGGCGCAGAGATCGCATCCGAGATCTCGCACCCCGGCGGGCCGCCGAGCGGAGAACCG